CAACCACAAAAATAAAAACAAGGATTAATTTGACATCGATTAAAATGACATTTGATGCATATAAAACTTAAAGAAAAGGGATAATGGGTTTTGGATTATTGTTGTCATTTTACCCATCTGCCTCCCTTTCTGCGTCTTAGTCTCGAGAGTGCAAAGTTAAAGTCTTTAGCGGTTTTAATATACAAAAACCTAATGTACCCAAAATATATAGGGTAAAGTACAAAATGATCCTCTGACTATAGGACGCTATTTTGTTTAGTCACCTAACTATTAAAATATATAAAATGGTTCCTCAATTATAGGTCACTATTTTATTGAGTCCCATGACTATTAAAAATTATAAAATGACATGTTCCAAACTCGTCATCTTTTAGTAAAAACTTGTCAACTCTCTGTGTTGGACGTTAACCTACTAATTAGGATATGATAAAATCTGATCTTAAATCGTTTGCATTGTATAGTCGTTTGAGATTATGGAATAATATTTTATCTTATCGTAGTCAACAGGCTAACGTCAAGCACATAGGTTCATCAATTTTTAACAGAAAATGACAAGTTTATAATATATGAATAGTTGAGTGATTATTTTGTAACTTTTAATAGTTGAGAAACTCAACAAAGAAATAATCTATAATTAAAATATTATTTTGTAATTTTTAATAATTGAGGACTTAACAAAACAGTATCATATAGTTAGGGGAGCATTTGTATACTTTACCCAAAGAAAACACAAACCCTAATTTGCATCACTCGTGTCAATTGGGAAATATTTTGAGTTTGTGAGAGCCCAAAATCTTCAGTTTGGGATAAATTGAAGAAACTAGTCCAAAACTCATATTTTAGATTGAAATTGAAGTTCAAGTTAAAGCCCGTAACCATGAGCTAGCATGCAGCTTTTAAAGGAAAATTACTTTTTTGGAAAATATTTCTTTTAGAAATAAAAAGGTTTAAAAATATATAAAATTTTAAAATTTATATAGTGTACTGTAAAATATTTTCTATTATTTGGTTCTTTCGATTTTAAAAAAAAAAATTAAACATGAATATAGATATTAGAATTGAAATGATAACTTAATAATTAATATTTTGAAAAACAAGTTAATAATAAAAAAATATAGTAATATTAAATACTTTAAATTATATTATTAATTATTAAAAATTAATAAAATCATTTATAATCAATAAATATTATTTATCTCAATATAATTATGCATCTATGATTTTTAGGTTTAAGTGATTGCGTTTTTTATGCGATACTACGACCTATTTAGATTTTATCGTAAGAGTCTAGCAAATTGAAATCTTTCGAATTTGTTCTATTTTATGTTTTGATTTTTACTTCATTTTCTTTATTCATAATTTTAGGGTTTAGTGACTTAGTTAGAGAACTTAATGGTCGACCTTAAGATTAGTGAACATTAGGACTTAGAACTCTAGAACGGTTAGCAAATTATTTTATTTAGCCTATAATTCTTGTATTTAGACTAAAAATTATGATACACGTTCTAATATCTTCACCATATTTTTTAAAAACTAGGTATCATCTGGACTGAAGTGGATCTTCGATCTCTTTCTAGACGTTGGAAGATTTCGAGGTTACTTAATGAAGAATTTTACCTTTGATTTTCTTAAATTATACCATAATCATAAACTTTTCAGACTTTGAGAACTATTCATAAATTCTCTCACACGTTAGAGAATTTTGGAGTATTTTAAAGAGTTGTGGATTTAGTTTTTTTAAGCATAGTTCACAAAAATCGAAGTGTTTTCTTGAGTGAGATAGTTTTTTTTTTTAATTTTTCTAGATGTTGAAAAACGCTTGAGATTGCATATAAAAGACTACACTTTCAAAATTTTAATATAAATGAACATGTAAAATTTTAGATTATTCGAGTTTAATTTTGTTTATCTATAGTGGTAGTGGTGTTTGAATGTGTTTAAAATATAGTGTCATATAATTGTTGTTTGAGCAAGTATTGGGTGTTTAAACATACGATCACTTCGACGGCAGCAATGTTGCACTCTTATTATTATTATTATTATAGCGTTAGAGATGTTTTTTTAAAGAGGCACTTGTCGTTGTCCTATTTTTATATACGTTGTTCTAATAAAACATATAAGTATTCCTTTTTCAAAAAAAAATCTCTTTGATGTTAGAGAATTCGGGATTACTCTTGAGAATTTTAAAATTTTGTGTTAATCTAAAAAAATTAATTGTATTCATGAGTCGAACAAAAACATTTGTGATCAAGTAACCACCATTTTTACGGAGTTGTAGGAATGCTAACCCTTTTTCACGTGTAACCGTACCCCAAACTTAAGTCTAATTTTTGTAAATTATTACATTTTTTTAGTGATTTAATCACATATAAGCTTAAACAATGAGGTTCAACTACAAGACATGTGAATTTCAATAGAAAAACTGTCACGCGTACTGACTATGTTAATAGATAGATATGCATGAGTAATTATTATATAAATAAATCTTTCTCGTATAACATTTTCTGTTTTATACTTTAATATCGATGTAGGTATAAAATGATATATTAATTTAAATGATTGTTCTTTTAATAATTTACTCAATCACCTAATTATTGCCACCTAGACATACATTAATGTCCCAAGTGCTAGTTAAAGGACTTCAACCATGTGTATTAAATTAATAATTCCTGTGCACCGGCTAGTTAAAGGACCTGAACCATGTGTACTAATAATTCCCGTGCACAGGCTAATCTTACATGTGTTTAAAATTAGTTTTTCTCTTTTTAGATAGTTTGAAATTATTATAAGATAATATATATTTATAAATTTTTTTGACAATATATATCTTATAGATCTGTTCAAATTTAGGACCTCTAAAAAACATTTCTTTTAATCATTAAAGTCACTTAATATATATTTTTTTAAAATTAATTAAAAAAATAAGTCCGAACATATTTAAAAATTATGAAAATATTAAAAATATGTTACAAAATTATTAGTCTCACTGATCTAAATCCACTCTGTCCCATTGAATGCAGTAGGCATTTGGGAAGAAAAAGAATGTAGTAGATATTAAAAAAGACTTTATATACAACGATTATAAATGATACGGCACAATTATTAACCTCTCTTTTCCATGGCAGCTGGAACAATGAGTCAATGCTGAATTCTTTTGTTTTTTCTTTACCGAGCTTCCCGTGATTTCATGGACTAATTACTTTGTTTTCTAGAATAATATTGGAAAAGGGTTACATATATACGTATGATTTTATGTTTTATAACGATAGATTTAAAAATATTTTTTAGGAGTGGCATGTCCATTTAGGGTTGAGGATGGGCATCTAGATCCATTTAGGGTTGAGGGTGAGTATGTGCCGACCCTAAAATCCGAATTATCTTCGGTTAGTTTCCTATTTTATTGAATGTATCTAACCTGAAATTTTATGTGTGCCTACCCTGAATCTTAATTTTCTTCAATTAATTATTTATTTTACTGATGGAGCTCACCTTGAAATTTTATTTGTGCCCACCTCATTAAAAAAATTTGTGTTAGTAACATATATGTGTCAATCCTCAAAAATATTTTTGGATCCGCAACGGAGCATACATATATTAATAATACAAATTTTAATAAGATATGCACAAATAAAATTTCAGGATAAATATTATCAGTAAAATATATAACTAACTGAAGAAAATTCGGATTTAAGAGTTGGCACATGCATACACTTGGGAAACTATCAATCTACCGCTGATATTAGAAGACTAATTTATAAAATTTTAAAAGAAAAATTTATTAATAAAAAATATTTAAAATATATGATAATTTAAATTTTTTAAGATAGAATTATTCCACCTATCCGCTCTCTTCGATCAATCCCTGTACACGTCTCTAGCTACCACCCTCACCCTTCATAAATGTGGATAACCTTATTGGGTAAGCTGCTAACTGTGAACTATAATGGCGTTTCTGTTACACTTGCGCTGACCCAATTCCAATTTGGGAATAAACAAATGTCAAATCAAAATTGAAAATTACAGTTTAAGACTATGGAGTTGTTTTAAGTCATTAAAGAATCGTTGACAAGTTCTTGCAATTTGACCCCAATTCGTCGGTAAAACTTTCGAGATAATGTTTTGAAAGAAATTAATTTACGAGCTAATGTACTCCCAAGATTAATTGCTCAAATAGGGTGAAATTCACAGTGTTGGTCGTAGGTCGCCATGCACTCCGGGCGACCTTGTAGGTTGCCATGCATTCCGGGCGACCTTGTAGGTCGCCATGCACTCCGGGCGACCTACCCTTGCTCAAACATAGAGAATGAACGTGTTGCATGGCACATGCACGTCCCAACACATAGGTCGCCATGCCTCCGGGCGACCTTGTAGGTCGCCATACCCTCCGGGCGACCTTGTAGGTCGCCATGCACTCCGGGCGACCTACCCTCGCTCGGCTTCCCTCAGATTCCCTCGCATAGCTCGCTCGGTTGCCCTCGCATAGCTCGTTCAGATTGCCTCGGTCGGATGACCTCGAATGCTCTCGGATGGCCTCGGATGCTCTCGAATGGTCTCGGTCGGATGGCCTCGGATGCCCAGCGTGTTGGGACGTGCATGGCACATGCAATCTCTTGTAGCTCGCCGGGAAGACATGGCGACCTAGTAGGTCGCCCGGAAGGCATGACGACCTACGACCAACACTGTGGATTTCACCTTATTTGAACAATTAATCTTGGGAGTGCTTTATCTCGTGAATTAATTTTTTCCAGAACATTATCTCAAAAGTTTTGCCCACTTCGTCCCTTTGGTCTCTTTCTGACATGCAAAGCTTTGTTCAAGTTTGGAATTAAAGATTGATTTGAAAATTATACACAAACTCAGTTGGTGGGAGTTGAATGATGGCATTGTGACTCGACCAAATTCACATGTCCAACTCACTTGCTCTCATCTACCTTTTAAGACTTTCATCTCATCTCCTTTTCTTCAATCTCAACCCCCATCAACATTTTCTCAACTTTGCTTTCTGTTTGTCTATAATGGAGTTGTTCTCTTTCTTGCTCTTCTTTCCGATCTTAGTTGTTTGTCTCAGGGTTTGCAAGTGGGTTGCCGACGAGAGAGACCAAGAATGTTACATTTTGGACTACCAATGTTACAAGCCGACCGATGATAGAATGGTCGGGACTGAGTTTTGTGGGGAAGTGATAAAAAGGAACAAGAACCTTGGACTCAACGAGTACAAGTTTTTGTTGAAAGCCATTGTCAGCTCCGGCATTGGGGAACAAACCTACGCCCCAAGAATCATGTTCTCCGGCCGAGAAGAGTCCCCGACGTTGGCCGATGGAATCCTAGAAATGGAAGAGTTTTTTAACGACAGCATCGGCAAGCTCTTGTCGAGGGCAGGCGTTTCGGCTCGAGAAATCGATCTCCTGGTCGTCAACGTCTCCATGCTATCAGCCGTTCCTTGTTTGTCCTCTAGAATCATCAATCGTTACAAAATGAGGGAAGACGTCAAGTGCTTTAACTTGACTGGAATGGGGTGCAGTGCAAGTTTGATCTCCCTCGATATCGTTCGCAATGTGTTCCAATCGTACAAAAACAAGTACGCTTTGTTGGTGACATCGGAGTCTTTGAGTCCAAATTGGTATGCAGGCAACGACAGATCCATGATTCTGGCGAATTGCTTGTTCCGTTCCGGCGGGTGTGCGATACTTTTGACGAACAAGAAGTCCCTGAAGCACGGAGCCATGTTCAAATTGAAATGCTTGGTGAGAACACATCATGGTGCAAGAGACGAGTCGTACAATTGTTGCATCCAAACGGAAGATGAGAAAGGAAGGGTTGGGTTTCACCTTGGGAAGAACCTCCCAAAAGCAGCAACCCGTTCTTTCGTCGACAATTTAAGGGTCATTTCCCCCAAGATCCTGCCGGTTACGGAGCTAGTCAAGTTCATGGTGGTCTCCCTGGTTAAGAAATGGAACCGCCGTGGTTCAACCAAGGGAACCACGACTCAAGGTCCTATAAAAGCTGGGGTTAACTTCAAGAGAGGAGTGGACCATTTCTGCATCCACACAGGAGGGAAAGCAGTGATCGAAGGCATAGGGTTAAGCCTCGATCTCACCGAGCACGACCTCGAACCGGCAAGGATGACACTGCATCGTTTCGGGAACACATCGGCAAGCAGTCTTTGGTATGTTTTAGCATACATGGAAGCCAAGAAAAGGTTGAAGAAAGGGGAGAAAGTGTTGATGATAAGCTTTGGGGCTGGGTTTAAATGCAACAGCTGTGTGTGGGAGATTGTAAGGGATTTAGGGGATGGGAATGTTTGGAAAGATGAAATTGAAAAATACCCACCAAAAACATTGGTGAATCCTTACATGGAGAAGTACGGGTGGATCCAGGACGAAGACATAAGCACCTTCAAAATCCCAGAAGACAAACTCTTCAAAGGTACCAACAACACTGAAACAAATTAGGATGCCATTTTTAACCTTAATCTCTTTAGATTTATGTCATTGATTATTAAATTTAATTTCTGGTATACTATTGAGTTCTTAGATTGTTAAATCCCAAGGTGGATTCATAACCAATAAGGTGGGCTGATTCTAATGATTTAAAAAGTATCCTATGTTGCATGAATTAAGCAATTTCAGTGATTAAGAGATTTATTGTTATTCTTTGAGGTCCCAAATTCGAGCAGGAATATGAGTATTCATTATTAAAGGATTGAAAGTCTTTGAATAAAATATTATTTTGTATTCACCTCATATTTATAAAAAAAAATACCATATTTTGGAGGTCTTCTTTCTTTTCTTTCTTTTTAATTGTTATCTTTTTTGGATGAACCAAATGATCACAGTGATTAAGAAATTGTTATTATTTTTTGAGATCCCGAGTTCGAGCACTATATACGTCGGGATATAACCGTTCAATATCAAATGATTGATAATTTTTTAACAGATTTTACCTTGTACTCACCCGTATTATTAGAAAGAATTATAACATTTTTACTATTGGTTTTGGAAGAAAATAGAAAAGAACTTGGCCTATGTTTTATAAAATAATGCATTTATCGTTTAATTTATGTACAGTTACTAAATTAGAAAATCTTAAACATATATTATTTTATAATCATTTTAAATTAATAAAAAAGAATTTTAATAAAACATATCAAGTAAAAATTTAAATCAACTGTTTTTTATTTTTTAAAAATATTGAATATATTCTTTATGCTAAATTGAAAAATGCATGGATTATTATCCCTGAATATTGCTGTGTGTAATTAAAAGAAGAGGACTTATCCTGTCAAAGTCTGCCCCATACACATGCTGAAGCATTTTACTGTTTGAACCTAAACATTTAAGATCCTCCATCAGGGAAGAGGATCCACTGAACAAAAATCCTCCGCGCCCTCTGTGTCCCTCTTTATGCCCCTCTAATAATATTTTGACACGTGCCTCTTTTTATTTTTATGGCAACGCATGTAAATTTCTAAAAAAAAAAATTACTTTATAACTTTATCTTCTACAATCTCTCTTTTATTTACGAACTCCAAAACAAATCAAAAATTTCCAGGTTGATTAATAAAAAAAATCCAATTCGCAACATATTTTAGTATACCCCAACTAATAAATGGTATTCTTTTACTTTCTGCAAGATTAGTACCTTATTCTCATATTTCAATTCAATAAAATAAACTCACACCTATGGATTTTGTATTGTTATTATTGCCTTAGAAGTTGATTCTGGAAAAGCACAACAAACAGCTTTCGATTGTATTTTCATACAAATGCAAGAAACAAACTTTCGACTTTTCATGGAAAATAAGAAAGAAATTCAAAGGGAGCAGTGGTGTCATTTTGTATTAACCAATTTTTGTGGACTTATCTTCTCAATTTACCTGCTTAATCAAAAGGATAAATATATACACGCCAATTGTCAAACTCTTGTATTCATGTATATAGAACTAAATTTGCAGATTCGGGGAGGGGGATGACAGTGATGAAGATTATTTTGAGATCCATCCTCTTGAGTTGTTTAAAGGGTGTTGTGAAACTGGAAGGCAAGTCGAAGAAGGAAGATTCAAAGCAAAGTTCATTCACAAGGTTTTACATGTTAGACTCAAGTGATCCAAGCTTGATGTTGTCGGAAAATTCGTCGACCTCGTTCTATGGTTTTAATCTTCATGTGTTTACACTTGGGGAGCTAAAAGTGATGATACATAACTTTTTATCGACTAATTTTCTGAGTGAAGTTGGGTTTGAAAAAGTTCATATATGTACATCTTTTCCAAAACCTTCGTTAAAAGTAAAATGTAGAAGATGAAGTAAATCAAGGAAGTAATTTTAAAAAAAAATATGTGTTGCCGTATAAATAAAAATACACATGTCAAAATATTACTAGTGGGGCACATAGAGGAGCAGAAGATTTCAATCCAGGGTCCATTATGGATGATAACACCCAAAAATAGTGGTGGATGGATGGATGGATAAATTGGACGATGATTCTCTAAATTTTAAATATTTTATATTAATAATTTATTTTTTATTTTTTAAATTTTTATAAATTTATTTTCTTATAATATTTTTAATTAGTCTCTTAACATAAAATTTTATGTATGATCCTTCAAAGATAATACGTCATTTTCCGAATTCTTCTTATTATTTAATTAATTCACTTCAGGACATGAAGTAATGCACTAATTAATGGAAGAGAATTTAAGCTTCTTCATAATACTTGGAATTAGTTATACTGTGTTATTAGTCTCTTAATTATTACTCAACATTTGACGACTAAGATTGCATTAAAATAATAAAGTCAAAGCATTTCCTAACAATAAAACTGTCAGTCCTAATAAATATAAAGCCCTTAAAAAATTGTGGTCAGTTTTTTTAATAATGGTATTTTATTTTTTTAAATTTTTCTCTATTTGTTCTAAGGTTTAGTCTTAACTAATCAGGATTGACTCGGATCGCATATCTGATTTGGTGGATAAATCTCTCAATAAAGATTTTCATAATCTACAAAGACTTAAACTCGATACCTTGTTTAAACAATGTCAAGTTATTTACCACTTGAACTAATCATTATAGGTAATAATGATATTTTACTTTTTATTTATTAAAAACAGGTTTTCTTTTCAAAAATCAGAATTTTTTACGCAATTTTCTTTCATTTGGGCTGTGTATTATTAATTCTTTAACAATGAAACATCTTGGCAAAAGTACGATCAATTTTGCGAAACTTAAACAAATGATATCCATATGGATTATTTTTAAATCTTAATTAGTTAAAGGTAAAAAACATTAGTAGTTTTTTTGTCAACAATTTATATGGTAGATAGTTAAAAGTTTTCGGTAAACATCTCTTTTATCCTCTAAATTATGGGTTCATTACTCGTCAGGAGTTAATTTACTAAAGGTAAAAAACATTAATATTTTTACAACTACTCTGAAAATTATTGGACTTCAAAAAGGTTTTTCACCTAACAATCACCTTTCAATTACTGATCAAGATCCCGTTTTAAAATTAATGTATGAAATAGCACTTATTTTTTTAAGGAAGAGCTCTAATATGACCAAACTCAAATTTTATTTAAGTTGAGACGAGGCGAGCTTTTGGGCTCATGATTGTAATGGATTTGATCCAAGCGTATGATAGCTATATGATAATGAAATTTGAGAGTAATTATAGTCTAATTCTATTGTAACATCATAAAAGTCGGAGTTGTAGGCATAAGAATTTATCGAGGCTCGTGGATTAAAAAAGTAATTGATTAAATATATGATATTGTAATGGTTCTAGAGTTTAGACTGGTTGATATGAGCGATCTTAGATGTTTTTTTCGGTTATTTGGGTATTTAAGTAAGTCTCCACCACACTATCGTGAGAATTTAAGTTCATCAAACGACGATGAAATCCTCTAGGATTGAACAATATACGAAAGCGTAAACACTGTTGGAACTATTCAAGTTACTAAGAGAGGCAACAAAATACAAAAAAAAAAATTAAGAAATTAGGAAACAAGCGACAAGAGAGAAATAGAGTAAATGCATAGTTGTATTACTCTGAAAGAATATAATAAATACAAATGAGAGAGAAATAGAGTAAATGCATAGTTGTATTACTCTGAAAGAATATAATAAATACAAATGAGGTGAGGAACCTATCTATTTATAGTTAAGTCCTTTACATCTAATGGTTTAGATCAATTTACATCTACCATTGAGATTGAATCATATCTTATCTTATCTTATCTTATCTCATCTTATCTAGAGAATTTGAATTCAAATCAAACATTATATATTTTATCCTTCAATTTAAGGATTGAAGTATTGAGACGTTCTATATAACCAAATCCACAATGGAATCTGAGTTTGTATCTCTATATAAATTCGGAGAAAAGAAGAGAGGCTACACATTTTTTTTTGGAAGATATTCTTATATGACCAAAGCATTTGCACAAAATATGTATATATTGCGATAATCAAACAACAATTGATAGAGCATAGAAATCAACCCTTTAGTTAACGTATACATAATGTTATCTTTTGATATTACAAAATCAACGGAGATAACTCCAATTGAGATCAATTGTCTTATGCATATAAGTCAAGACACGTGTTGTCAACACAATACAAAATTCGATCCGACATGAGTTTAGAGTAATTTCATCCGACCCAATCTGAAATAATATAAAATTATTATTTTTATTTAATAAAATAGAGACTTATTTGAAAAAATAATATAAAGAGGGATATTAGTGTAATTATCCTTAAATATATAAAAATATAATTATATTATTTTTTGGATCAGGTCAGGTAAATTATTTTTCACTCTAAATTCGAACCTGACCCAACATGAACTTATCCTCTAAAAAACTGACCCGATTCGAATCTTATTTTTCTAAAAAAATTTAATCTGATTGAATCAGGTCAAATCAAAACCTATTGAGTTCGGGTCTCGTGCCCATCGCTATTCAACACAATATCTAATTGAGACAACATATATTTATGGCATAATATTGATTTGCTTTAATTCAGTTTTAATTCAGATGGAAGGATGTAAGGTTTTAGCATTTTATTGAACCTTAATTTCAACAACCCGAGCTCACATATTTTTTTAATAGTCTGATGTGTTTATAAGATAGTATATGTTTATAATTTTTTAATTTATTAACAACGAAAATATCATACAAACACAATTACTCCATATCAGAACTTTCAAAAAATACTTTTTATTACTGAAATCATTTGATAAATTCAAGCTGACACATTTTTCAATTACTCTCACACTACAATTGAAAATATCATTAGCCAACTTTAGATTAATGCGACCCTCCAAGCAGCCCATTAATTATTCTATTCGTGTGGTAATGACAACACATTCTTGCACAAAATCTGACAGCAAATGCCAGCCAGCACCAAAACTCTTTAATGGGAGCAATAAATCTGTTGTCTCTACTACAGAAGTCATATTGGTCCGGGAACCACCTTTTACCCTTAAATGCACCACTGATAATGCATGAAATGGTCAATTCAAGCCAGCCATTCCTCCATATTTCTGCACTGCACTTCGCCCTTTATGGGGATTCATTGGCTGTCAATTTGTCGTCACACATCATGAAAGCATGGTTTTGTGATCACG